GACTCTGCCTCAGCTAGGCAAATCGCCAGCATGGAGGGGCTACTCAGGCGCATGCGGCATATAGACTTGAGGTTGTGCTTTATCCAAGACCGTGTCCATAGCGGCGAGTTAGCCGTAGAGGGAGTGGCCGGAACCGAGAATGTGAGCGACCTTCTCACAAAGAATTTAAATCGCCTCCAAACGGCAAAACATACAGCAACCCTCGGACTAGAAGATGTCACCAACATTGATTTCCGAGAGGTCCCGGCAGTCAGGTCTTGCTTGTTGCTGTCTGGAGTGCTAGATTCGATACTCGGGCCGGACAACCTCGAATACGAAGCTTTCTGTCGGCTATGCGAACTCGAGACTGAATATTCGACTTTGCTGATCGAGTTTTGCACGAGTTCACGTTCGAATCTGTACCTGCAAGGAAGTGTGCACCAAGTATTTGTCCTGCCGATTACTCAAGGGGTTGACGGAACCTCAAATGACACCGTGGAGCGGGTCATGTCTGCAATGAATGTTGCAAGAGAATGGGGGATGAAGGTTGTTTTCTGGAGCAGCACTCCTTGTACCGGAGGTAGCCCGTACCAACGGCGACACGAAGATCGGCCGGGCTATCAGGACCATCTACAAGCTTTATTCACGGTGCATCGCAAGCTCTGGCGGAGCTTCTTAGTGATGGTGAACCGCCCGCAAGTGGGGGTATGGGTCATAGAATGGCCGCAGAGGTGTGCCTACTGGGGATGGGCAAGCACCCGTTCGTTTGCAAAGCAAAGAACCCATTACACTGGCGAAGTGCACGGCTGTGTTTCAGGCTTGGTAGGCAGAGATGGATTACCTATCCGAAAGATTTGGAAACTGATGTCGAACGATGAACAGTTTGTGCGAACAATGTCCGAAACATTTGCATGTACCTGCAAGGGAGATCATTCACGAAACTTTGATCTCAAAGCAACGCAGCACTATCCGCCAGCTTTCGCGGACGTCGCCCTGGAAAGCTTGCAACTGCGGTAATTCGCGCCCGCCCGTCCACCCCTGGCTTACCCGCCCACCCGCCCAGCCAGGTTACTTTGCGAGAGTTCGTCGACCTCCAGCGGTCTGAAGCAGTGCAGCGGTCTAGGACTGAGGAATGCGCCGGAATCCATGGCCCGGCGAGAAGCTTAGTTGACTTTGCGTGGAGCTTAGTTGACGTGACCAACAGTGAAACTCTTGGTCATGAGGGGGAGTTGATATATGTGACCCTCCTAGTTTCCCAGTTGACACGTGATGTGCACTTGAGTTGTCTGCTATGAGTGTGAAGCATAGGCACGAGGACATGTCAGGCAGTGCAGATTTGTTTTGGCTTGGTGAGACCTTGTTTTGAGTAGGAAGAACCGTTTTCTGTTCGTTTTCTCGAAACTCGTTTGTCGGAACTCGTTTCCTGTTTGTGACCTGGTATTTGGTGACCAGAAGTGACTCAAGCCAGTTTAGGTCTGCACAGAGCTCAGCAGAGCACCTAAGAGGTGCTAGGAACCTACCCACAGTGTTTAGGAGTAGAAGTTCCATGGCTGAGTGTTTTCACCTGAAGTACCTTTGTTTTCCCATGTCTGGCAGACAGTGTTTGAAGCTGGAGAGCCGTGCTCGCATTGGCTCAAGACGAGCGGAGCTCGAGAAGCTGTGAACAGCGCAGTGAAAAGAGTCCGCACTTCGTGCTGTGAGGGTTGAGTGTAGTCTTGACCTGAGGTCCCTTAGGCCCCGTAGCTGTGCCACGAGTTTCAACGCTCCCAGTATGCAAAAATCGTGGTCCAAATGAAGTTTCTCTTGCGTTCCAGTGTCCCAGAAGACCAGCTGGGTGAAGTTAATATGAGATCACTGCGGCCTGCGTGTGAAAAGTTTACGCTTTCCTTGGTGTGCCTAGTTGTTGGCAGGACAGAAACTGTCTTACAGTTGCATGTCTGAGCGAGAGCTTTGTTTTGGCATGGCAAGGACTTGGCATGTTTGGCATGGCATGATGTTTTGGCATGGCATGACGTTTGGTTCAGTTCCCTGTGATGAGTGTTGAAAGCACTGAGCTTGCTTTGCAAAGCCTTGAAGCAGTGCGTGTGAAGCTCTGAGGGACAGACCTTTGCAGTTACTCACTCCGTGTGCTTGCCCCGTCGTTCGTACCGTTACGTGTGCGTTGGGAACCTGACTGAGGCATGGTGAGTGCATGCTGTTGGTTTTAAGACAGACTTGAAGTCCTGAAGCAATCCCCAAAGGTTTTGCATGTTTCTTTTGCTTTCCTCCTTTGTGTAGCAAAGTTGAGATGGAACTTGTAAGCCTTGAGACCTGAGCTCTTGGAGAGAGCTTTCTGCTGACATTGACAGTCATGCTGAACACTACGGTGTTTGGCTCAAGTGCGACTTGCGAAAAGAACTGCGCGAGTGCTCTGCTTTTCACATGGTAGCGGAGCTTCCGGAACTTGTCCGGGGCTCGTAGAACGCCATGGCCGCGCCTTTGTCTCAGCCCACAGGGCAGAGTCCACTAGCGAAAGCGAGTCCAGCAGGCTCCGTAGCCGCTGAGATTCCTGTGCCACCGGAGACAACGCAGCAGGAAGAAGAGTTGCTGTTTGGTACTGGCCAGCCTAGTGGTCAGCAGACAGCTGGAGTCAACCCTTTTCAGGGTCTTGGAACTCCAGCAGCAACTCCTGCTGCCCCGACTGTCCAAGAACGTATGCTGGAAATGCTTGCGAGTATGGTGCAACAGCAGCAAGAGCAGACGAAGCAGACGCAACAAATGCTTTCTGCCATGCTGCGAAGGATGGACTTGGAGGACGAGAGGCGTTTCAAGGCCGAGCGTGAACGTGAAGAAGAAGCAAAGGCAGAAGCAGTTCCAGTCGTGAACCGTGACCCGTTTGCAACTTCGGGAACAGCATCGGCAAGTAGCAGTTCAGGGCCGAAGCCAGCTGGAAGCGGTGGGACGTCGTCCAACCGTGCAGACAAATACCTGCCACAGCTGCCTGTCATAGCCCACCAAGAGATGGGTAGAGACAGGATGCGAGAAATCGAGGCTTGGCATGGTTTCTTGGAGACGCTGAGTTCATGGTTGGCGCTGCAAGATGAGGCCTACGTGAACGAGCTTCGACTCTGCATAGGTGTAAAGGACGAGATCCAACAGGACCGTTTGCCAGCTGACACCGCAGCACGGTCAGCGAAGCTGTTTTACCTGCTTTCGCAAAGTTTGGCCAAGTGGGAACGTGGTTTGGAGTTGCTTAGAAGCTGCAGCAAGAGACAGAACATGTCTGCAACCGGCTACGAGGCAGTTCGGACCATCCACATGAACTACTCGATAGTGTCCCGAATGGAGGCAGTCTACGTGCGAGAGGCATGCATGAAGATCCATGCGAAGTGCGGCCACCTCAAGAAGCCCATGGATATCATCCGACATTTAGAGGACGGCATCGCCAAGGCAGAAGTTAAGCTGAGCAACTTTCCAGAGCTCAAGCTTTCAGAAGCCGACCGTTGTTCTTTGCTGCTGCAGGCCGTGTCGCACCAGGCGCGGCAGTATGTAGCCCTTCACGGAAATGCCCAGTCTTGGGGTGAGCTCACAAAGAGCCTCAAGTACTTCGAAGAACAGTTGAGGATGTGTGAGCCCATCTCGACTTCATCGTCCCGGTCCATGGATGGTCAGGATGTACTTTGTGACTATTGCGGTCGAAAAGGCCACAAGAAGGATAAAGTGCTGGGCCAAGCAAAGGGACGAGCGTGGCGATGCTAAACCCGATAAGGGCAAAGGCAGACCCAAAGACAAGAAGGGTGGCAAAGGCGACCACAAAGGTGAGCCTGGAACCCCACGTGGCGGAAAGCCTTCCTCTGCTAAGGGCGACAAAGGTGGGAAAGGTGGTGGCAAGGACAAGAAAGGAAAAGGAAAGGGCAAAGACAAGCAGAAGAAGAAGAAGAAGAAGAAGAAGAAGAAGAAGAAGAAGAAGAAGAAGAAGAAGAAGAAGAAGAAGAACGCTGCACGGAGCCTGGAAGGAGAGCCAGAGTCCGAGGCGGAGTCTTCTACTTCTGGTCATGGAGCCACCGTGATGGCCATGAGGTTTTCTCAGCCCCATCCTGGGCAAGAAGAACTGAGCCCGGTGAGGCCTGATAAGTCGGAGCCCGTAGTCCTGAAGCCCTTAGCTGTAGAGCCACCTTCTGGCCTGTGCCAGAGACCACCTGCGTCAGAGAGCCTAGGCACTTTGGGTAGCATCAGTTCGAAGGGAGATGTGGAGTACATTTGCTCTTCGCTGTGCGTAGAGGGCCGAGATGTCTGGCTAGTTGACAGTGGAGCAACATGTCACATAGTTTCTTCAAGCCACATCTCTGGATTTCGAGTCACGAAGTATCATGATCGGAATGTGACACTCTACAATGCCTCAGGCGGGACAATCAACGTGTCGTCCGTTGTCGATCTGGAGGTTCGTTTCGGGGACGTTCCGTTGACGCTCGAAGAGGTGTTGGTGGCGGATGTGCCTTTCAATGCAATTTCCCCTTGGGCCGCGGCAGAGAGGGGTTGGATCGAAAACACACCTCGCGCGCACTGGGTCGCGCCTCTATCGAGGGGGTAAGAAGAACATCCGTTTGATAGGGGAAAGGCGGGCCTGGTGGGCGATCAGCGGAAAGAAATCCAAGAACTCGAAGCGCCCGCCGATAGGCACACACATGGATGTAGACGCGCTTCCTGCTGAATCCAGGAAATTGGTACCCGCAGGACCGATACTGAAGGGAGGAAAGAAAGACCTTCTTGAGGAGCGGTCTGCCCGGCATCTGTTATCAGGGACTCCGTTCGAGTTTATGCTTCGAGGTATGAGGACAGTTGGGGGTGCAAGTGCGGAGAGCAAGAGCCTTGAGACCCCAGCGAAAGCCTCTGGAACTCCAGCCGAAAGCCTTAGGAAGGTAGGAAGCATGAACGCACGAAATCCCTTAAGGAAGCAGCGTGGCATGATGGGAAGCATGTTGTCTTGTGTGTGCATGGCATGGCTTGGATTTTGCATGAGCTTGTCTTTTTGTGGATTTTGCATGGAGAGTTTAGATCGCGAAGTGGTTCTGCACCAACCGCAGAGCTTTGCTTGGACTAGCGCTTGTTTGGTAGAGGATTCCTTTCGATTTTCGACAACATGGGCGGCGTTGTTTCGTCCCAAGGAGATCGAGTTGGACAGGCAGGAGTATGCCCTTGCCGTTGTTCCATCTGCCAGCGAACAAGAAATATGTGCTGCCGCAAGAAGAACCAGCACGTCCACCACTACTGTTGGCATTGTGTCAGCACGTGGGCGGGGATGCAGTGGCTTGAGCAGCACGACTCGACCCCAGAAGGGCACGATGCTGATCATCAAGAGTGGGTCGTGTTACAACCCCAATGAGGGGGAGCGGCTAGTCTTCGGAGCAAAAGCTGCGGGAAGATGGAAAAGCTTCGCTTTGATTGCGTTTTCTCTTTCCTTGCTTAGTCGTGTGACTGCGATCGGAAGAGCTATCCGCTCTAGGGGTGCTGTTTGCGCATGCTTCCGCCGCAAAGGTGGAAGAAGAGACAGAGTGGATGAACGGGCCTCCGGGCCTCGAAGAGTAGGTAGAGCTAAGAAATCCCAGAAGGAACCTAAATTTTCTGAAACCCAAAGCGCCCAAAAGGTCCTTAAGAAAGTGCTTTGCATGGGGTTTGTTATTTCTGCAGCCATTTTGCTTTTCCTCAGGAACAGCGCGACGCCTTCCCTCTTTTGTGAGGGCTCTTCTTTCGCAGCTGCCCCTTATGGGAAGCTTTCACCCGGTTGGGGAGGAAGATGCGACGATGGATGCCGAGGACTCCCAGGCTTCCGAAGATCAAGCCCAGGAGGTTACCACCGGCTACCGTTTCTCTGCCCCAACACCTACGGCGGCGGAAGATCAGGAGCTTGCAGTGCCTGCAGAAGCCCAAGCGGAGCCGTCGCCGACCTCGTTGTTCACAGCACCGACCGCGGAGTTACTAGCTGCTCGGGAAAACGACCGTTCCAGAGCCGCAACCCATGGTCCCAGAAGGGATAGCTCGTGTGCCTTGCCCTCCTTCGCCAACGGAGGTTGCCTCAGAAGAGCGGTGGGGAAATTGGAAGGCCACACCACCTGTGAAGGCCTCTGCTCCATCGACGGGAGTGGCTTCGGAGGTTCCGGTGCCGCATGTGCGAAAGAGGGACCCCTCGGAGGAGAGCCGAGGACCGGAGATCGAAGCTGCTGGAAGTGGGGACACCTACAGCGTGGCCCATTGGGAAAGGATGCTTCGGAATCCGAGGGTCCAGTACTTCCTGAACTTCCAGGAGGGTCTCCGAAGGGACCTAAGCGAGCTCGGGGTGTTGAACATCGTCGGGCAAGATGGTCTTCATCCCCTAGTCCCAAGAGAGGATGGAGGACATTTGGATCTTATGAGTCGGGTTGTGAACGACCCCACTTATATGGAAAATCTGTCCGGATTGATGGAGAGCCCCGTTGTTGTTGGGAGACGAATCCCGACCTTGATCCGCTCGAGCAGGTTTTATCCGGAAACCCCTGTGTCTGGGGAAAGAGTTCCGGAGCAACGGTGGTTGAGGCATCACAACATGGATCTCCCAGAGGTGCCCCCCATGACGGTGCAGCTGCCAGTGAGTTTGCGAGAAAGGGGAGGAGAGTATGGCGAATCAGTCGTGGACACGGTGTATGTCTGCAACACAGCCATGGAGACGACCGAGCAGGAGGAGGCGAACTCTGCGAGGATTTACCGTCTTCAACAAGGATATTCCCTCCTCAATTATGGCGTGAGCCAGGCCATCGTGACCAAGGCCATCGAGCTTGTTGGCCAAGGGGAAGCTCAGATCCGCGAGTCTGGTCTTTCCAGCAGCATTGTGCTGGGCCTTCGGCATATGCTTTCCACGATCAAGGAGTGGGAGAACGCGAAAGAAGGGGATGCCGAGGAGACCCGGGCTCGTGGAGGTATCCAGGTGGAATTGCCGGAGGCCGTTCTTGCAAAGGATTCTTGGTGCTGTTGGAAGGAGCTCGAGAATGCCGCCGACTATTACGCCGAGATCTTTCTTGCATCCCAGCAAGAGCGGTCCATTCGAAAAGCGGGAGCGAAGACAAAGGCTGCGGCGAAAGCGGCTACCTCCTCTACATCCGCCGTGGGGGAGGAATCTTCAAAGGTCCGAGAAGAGGATACCGAGAGTTCCTCCTCTTTGAGCTCGGCCATGGAGACACCGGACAACATGTTTTTCATGGAGGCGATCAAGCGGGTAAAGATCAAGCAGGGAGTTCTCGAGGAGTCTCGCCTGGCCCAGATCTACGCCGAGGAGCGTGGTTCGATGCCTCCACCGGAACCAATGTGCCCTCCTCGGAATCCACCCGTTCGGATCAAGGCCTCTCCAACGACACAGGTGAAATCCTCTACCCCTGCAGTTCCGGCGGTGGAAGCAGATACGGGAGTCGAGCCTCCCGATCTTGGAGTCGAGCCTCCCTCTCCTGCATCGACTGTGGGAACGATTGGGGATGTATGGTCGCTTCTGAATGTGGCGCCTCCGCCGGGAGTACCGCCCCATCTTCGGCTACCGAGGCCTCCTCCACCATTTGGAAAGGTCAAGACCTCTGCGTCGGGAAGTTCGGTGGCGCCTGTGGTCACTCCAAATACGGAGTTTGGCCCAAAACGACTTCCACCCAAGCAAGGAGGGCAGACGGACCAGGCGCGCCAATTCTCGTTGGCTCCACCCTGAAGAGCGGGATGGAGAGAGGTATGACGGTGCTTGAGGTGCTGGGATTACGCTTTCTTCCGAAGCACCCTGTCGAGAGTGAAAAGGTTGGACAGGCATGCTCTGTGTTGGCATGGCAAGTTGATTGTTTGAGTAAACATCCTCTAGATCGTCACCCCGAAAACGCCGAAAGTCTTGAAATTCCCCGAAGTACCCTGAACCGAAATTCCCAATCAAAAACCCAAATTCCTCAATGGCTTGCTCTTGGTTTGGTGTGGCATGGCAAGTTTGTTCCCGAAGGTCATCGTGGAAATTACCCTCAACTCCCAAAGAACCTGAAAGAGATGGATTGTGCATGCGCTGTGCTTGGCATGATGTGCTGTAACAGTCCTCTAGAAAGGCATCTTGGGTGGAAAATTCCTATGCCCCCGACACTCCTCAATCACTCCTTAAATTGGACTTCCCAAACCCGACCGCCGGCCAGGAACTCTCTCCACATGCCAGGTTTAAGTTTGGACCTCGCGGTGCTGTTTGCCATCTATGTGGTGGCGAGTTCTGCGGGAGGTTTTCTGGTGTTGGGATTTCGGAGTTTGGGAGGAGCTCTTTTTAGACCTCAAGTTCGGTTCCGAAAGTTTCGTCTGCGGCCCCGACGTAGAAGGACTCGAGTTCGAATCAAGACTAGGAGCTGTTATGTCCGAGTTGACGTAGAACGAACTCTAGCGCTGCACAGGGTTGAAAAGGCGAAGAAGGTTCAAGGTAGGAGCATGGGCCTCCGGGCCTCTTGTGACATGTTGTTGTGCATGGCATGTTGTGTGGTGCGCATGGCAAGTTGGTGTGCATGGCATGTTTGTTTGTGCTTCAAGCACATGGGCGATGATGAAACAGAGAGCAGCGCCGTCTTTGAGGAGTGCCAGTTAAGAGCGCTCCGAGGGCTGCCTCTCCCCGGTAAGGGGACACATTCTGAGCCCATCGAACTTGATGCTCCCATGAACCCCCCTGAGAGTCCGAGAGAACTGAGAGAGAGAAATGAGCCCGGGGCTTCCGAGCCTCCAGAACCTATTCACGGAGGTCCTGTTCAAGGACAGGGAGTGTCTGAGCGCATTCCTTTGAGGAGCGTGGCGTTGCATGTTCATCGGTCACACGGGCATTATCCTTACGATGTGAATTGCGAATCGTGTTGTTCGAGCAAGGGCCGGGTCCCTGCGCGTCGTTTGAGAAGAAACCTTCAAAAGGAAGACCAAACGATAGGGATCGACTTTTTCTACTTTGGAAAACTGCGTGTCCTGTTGATGGTTCACTGTTCCTCTCGTTACACGATTTCGTTGCCCGCCATGGAGCTTAGCGATCCAAACTTGATGTATAACATTGACCGGGCCATTCGGGAAATGGGTCTTGTTGGAAAGATGGTTACAATTCGATGTGATCAAGAAAGTTCGCTGATTGCTTTAGCTGAGAAGTTGGCCCGAAATAGGAAAGGAGGAGCGGCGTCCGGGATCATCGTTGATGTGGTGCCGGGATACCGCCCCCAAGCCAAAGGAGCGGTAGAACGCCAAGTGGAGACGATGCGGCAGGGATTCTGGGCGGTGTGGTTGGACCTGGAGAAAGAGATTGCGAAGTTGCTTCCACCTCCTGAAGCCGAAGCCCCGCCGTACAAAATGCCTCTAGGTGGTCTCTTGTGGCAAGCGGCGTTGTTTTATTCCTCACGTTGCTTCAACTTGTGGTCAACGAGTTTGGGGGATGTCACTACCCCGATAGATCGTTTGCACGAGGAGTTTGTACACCGCACTAGAACGCTTCCTTTTGGATGTACGATTCAGGCCAAAGTTGGAGGGTCAGCGGAACACGTCCGCAAGTACCGCGGAGCGAAGACGATCCGCGCTGTGTATCTGGGACCGGTCCACCCGAGAGGTGGGGGAGTGTTTGCAGCCCGTGCTGGAAGCACGGAGATCGACATCTTCCCGGCGTGTAGGGCGATCTTGGAGAGGGATATGCCTACGTACGATCCGGAGTCCATAGGCGTTTTGAGCGCCGCACAGCGACTGACCGTAGACCCTGATGACCCTGAGAGGCCCATTTTGTTTGAAGCTCCCCCGGAACCACCAGTCGACTCAGGTGTTGAGCCTGCGCCGTTGCCTCAAGGAACGGTAGAGGATGAGGAGATGATACCAGCCGAAGATCCACTGTCTGATATCCCAAGCTACGTAGAACCCACTGACGATGAGGGGGAAGGAGTAGGAGATCTTGAGCCGCCGCCTGGTGGTTTTGACGGTGACATGGAGATCGACTGGCTTACGGATCATCTAATGGCTAAACTAATGTCTGGACCTGATTGCAGGGCCGCGAGTTCGGAAGCAGCTTCGAGCTTTGAGCTTGCCTTCGGTGGTAAGAGGATCAAGTGCAGAGTCCCAAGGGATGCTGTTTCGGAGACCTCTGGGGAGAAGTTGGATCCCGCTTTGCTTTATGCTTCGATGAAATTGGAACTTGAAGAGCTTGAGTCCTTCAAAGTAGGAGAAATAGTGTCAGGTGTTTGAGGACCTTAAGAAGCGGTATAAACTGAAGTTGACTGGAGAATTGCTGGAAGGACGTCCGGGTGAGGTTTCTTTTCTGGGCCGGAGGATTTTCCGCAGAGAAACAGGGACAAACAAGGTCTACTTCGGACTGGACGCGAAGTATCTTGAATCTTGTCTTCAGGAGTATAGCATCACCAAGGCTGCTCCTAAGCTTCCGCCCCTGGAAAGGAGGTATGCGGATCTGATAAAGAAAGAAGAGCAGTGTGTTCTTCTTACGCCTGAGGCCCACGAGAGGTACCGAAGGACCCTCGGCCGACTGGCCTGGGCTGCCCTATCCAGACCAGATCTTCAGTACGTTTGCGGCTTTCTTGGTCGACACCAAGCGTCCCCAAACTGCGCCGCAGCGGCGTGTATGAGGGATGTGCTTCGTTGGATTGCTGGGCTTTCGCACAAGGTCCAGGTGTTTCCCTCGGAAAGAGAGATCCTAGCGGAGGACCAGGACGTGGAGTCGGTCTCGTGCTTCGTTGACGCAAGTTGGGGTCTGAACTCTGTGAGTGGAGGGATAGTTACCTGGAATAACTGCGCCCTTAAGACGTTTAGCCGAAAGCAAACCACGATTGCACTATCTTCAGCTGAGGCGGAACTAGCAGCTCTCACCGAAATCGCACGTGAAGGTTTGTACATCAGTCTTCTTGTGCAGACCATGGTAGAAGGAATGCCCGAAGGTGTTGAGGAAGGTAAGTATAAGCTTCATGCTTATGGGGACTCAGAGTCCGCCCTCTCCATAGCTCAGATGGGAACACTTCTTCGAAAGGTGCGACACATCGAGCTCCGGGCGGCATTCTTGCAGCAGTTGGTAGCTAAAGAGCGTCTAAGTCTGGAACACATCCCAGGCAGGATAAATCCTGCGGATGCACTAACTAAAAGCACCAACTGCTGATAGTCTTCTTACCATGTGTGAGGCGTGCGGATTGGTGACGGAGCCAGTATGCTGGACCGAAACCTCCAAAGCGACCATGGAGGTACGTCCTCCTAAGGTCACCTTTCAAGAGCCCAATGAACGCGAATTAGAAGAGAAATTCTCGAAGTGCCGAGTTCGTGGAAAGAGGCGGCGTACCGCGTAGCTTCTGGTGAGGCCAATTTCATAGTTCTGGAGCTTTGTTGCCAGGAAGGGAGTGCAATCTCGAAGGCCTGTGAGCGAAATCGCGAGATTGCCTACTTCGGAATCACCAAGAAGATAGACCTGTTGAGTAGGGAAGCCTTCCATCTTATGAAAGGTATCCTGAATGCCCTCACTGACAACGAAGGCGTGCGGGTCTATGCCCACCTATCTACCCCGTGCAGCGCCGGGTGTGGACTTCGTCACCTAAGGTTCTGCAAGGATCTCAGGAACCGCGAGCGTTGGAGAGCTAGCCTGAAGGTCCACAAACAGTCTTGGCGACGCATTCGTGCGGTCTTTAAGGACTTTGTGGGACACGAGAGACTCTTGCTCTCTCACGAATGGCCTAAAGGGTCAGGTTTGTGGGGAGAAACGGTTTACCAGACGACTGCTAAGAGTTTGGGTCTTTCTCACGAGTGTCTTGTGGATAGGTGTTGCTTCGAGGAGGACGGAAAGAGAATCCTCAAGCATTGGTGGTTTGTGAGTTCGAGTGCGAGCTTTGTTTGGTCTCTTTCACGCTTCGTTTGCCCAGGAGACCACGAACACGTAGGTGCTGCCAGTGTCGCAGATACCGGCATCTATCCGAGAAGCTTAGGCGTCACCCTGGTGAAAGAAGCCAGGAGAAGTCTTCGTTAGGAGGAAGAAAGGACTGACCTGCTGCACAATAGGCATGAGGGGGTGTGAAAAGTTTACGCTGGCTCAAGTTTCGGCTCAGACCCCGGTGGGGTGTTGTGGTAGGAAGCGGCTGTGAAACAAGCCCTGAGGCCCAAACCTTGTGTGGGGGAACAGGCTCCATCTTGAATCCCAGTCTCTTTGTAGTGCCATAGCACACCTTACCCACCGTAAAGGGGTTCGCTCCTGTCGGGGGTTGACCAACACACCCTCCCACCGTCATCGGGGGAGAAAGGGTGGTCAACACGGCCTCCCACAATGGGTCGGGAATACACTGTTTGCAAGGGCTGCGGAAATTGGATCTACACAGATCTAATCAAGCAGGACCTCAAATGCAAGAAGTGTGCCAAGACCTGGCCCACCAAGGGGAGGCGTCCTACAGTGTGGGAATCGGCCACCTGGAGGAACCCCAAAACCCCCAAGCCCAAAGCCCAGAATGGGGAGGCAATGGGGGGCTCGCCCAACCCGCCGTCGCCCAAGCCGCCTCGAACCCCTAAGGTCTACAAGGCCTTGGAAGGGGTATGGGAACAAATTCCCGAAGCTGCCCGTGCTGAACTCTCCAAGGCCGGTTTCAGGGCTCCGGTGGAGGACAAGTCGTCCGATGAGGTGGCCCTTCTGGACCTATTGCAGGCCCATATTGGGGATCTGCCAGCGGACGTCCAGACAGCGCTGCACAACAGGAA